ACTTCATGACAACTTGCCATCGACTACATTGAGCAAAGGTTGGAGGACTTCAAACTGCAACCCCTGTCATACCAATCCATGTGAGTATTGTTGGACGTAATTAATCCGTTCCTAGCTAAAATATGTTGCAATTAATTTGGTTGACTTATGTGCTTCACTAGAATGGATCGACACATCTGTGTGCAAATTAATTAGTATCTTCCGTTAGATTGAGAAGCGATTTGATTGATGGCGAATTGTGGATTGGGAAGTTATCTACTGTGTGGGCAAAGTGCCTTGCCCTGCTGGGAAGTTCTTCTAAAATTATGGTTCATGGAAAGATAGTGTTCCAAATGATGGAACTGAGGCGGATACACGAAGTTTTGCTGTATGTCTTGCATACTGTAATGTGGAGGCTCCTGATTTTTGCAGTTGGAGAACGAACTTCCAGTGTCAGTATAATCAACCAATTATGTGCAAGGAATCAAAGAGACAAACCATCGGCATTGATGATGTCCTCAAGGGCTCAAGGTACTTGATGAGATGGAGTTTACAGAGTTTGTAGAGCCCCTTAGGACTTGGTTGCAAGGTCAATCTTGATGTCTTCATCCTGTTAGCACCTTGTTAGATCCTCCATGGTGTTATCGATATTAACCTATATTTTTATTATTAGAACTATTTCTGGAGATTAATTTTTTTGTGGCGTCTAACATGGCCGTAGCGTTCAGTGCTACCCAAAAGTACTATAATTTTTATATTCTTATACATAATACATGTGCAACTGAATGCGCCCAATATTGTGAGATGCAAAGGAAATGCTACAAGAGGCACCATTAATAATTTCAAACTATTCATGGCGCAAGTTATTTTTTTCCCTTCTTGTGTAGGTAGATCCATAGATGCAGATGCTATCTCCTCTTGCATTCTTGTTCTTAATGGAAAAAACTAGCTGTGGGGGAAAGAATCGTTATAGACATCGAAACACACTGTAGGAAGGTAAGGAACTAGCAATGCATCCATTATCATTCCCGGTTTCTTTTCATATTCACTGCATTAGTGTTGCGCAAAAAATATTAATTGTTTCCTTTCACACTATTTCTCTTAGAGAAGTTCTGTGTATTTAATGAGGTTTGATTGTTAAAATTTTGGTCAAAAAAGCTCAATCTTGATGAAATTTGAGTAAATACAATCCTGGTTAGAAGCTTATATCATATATTTGACGCACAAATTTTGCAGCATATGTATGGCGCCCTCCAACAAGTGTGGCACTGGGTACCTAAAATTTGGTAGGGGATTGGATGATTTAGATGTTTTTTTCAGCAATTTCTTATGTGCTCCTATCTTAACCACCTTTTTTTTTTCATGTTCTGGTGTACTTGCGGGCGTTCGAGTTGAAGTACACGGTGTTGACCTGGGAAGGAGCAGAAGCCACAAGAAAGTGATCAAAACCGAAAATTAGGTGTCTATAAATATTTCACATGAGATTTCCTGTTACACCGCATGAGATTTTTCATGAAATAATATAATAATCCTGTGAGTTTGAATTGCTCCTTTTTCTGTGAATCTTGAATCTATCTTATTTTAGATCGCGTTTGGTTGTTACTTTGCGTCACCTAAAATGTCACCGTGGCGTTAGCACGGGCAGTATACTATTCAGTTAGATGAGAAAATTTGTGTTTTATTGTGTGCAGTCAGTCAAATGGATAACAAGCAGAGGTTTAGTCTGTTGGAGGATGATGACAAGGTGTTGATCCAGGCAAACCAGGGCACAGTATGTTCTCTGCCCGAAATTTACTCCACTAAATACTATAGTTGTTTCTACAAAGCAGCATGCATTTCGCATGTTCACTTTTTCCTTTTAACTTTGCGTAAGATGGAAATGTTTTCTGTAGAATATTACAACTTGCATTCCTATAATTTTAAGAGATGTAATATTCTTCCAAACTGGAAGACCTTCAGTGTTTAGAGTTCAGACTATGTCTATGATGGTTTGCTAGGTATTTATTTGTTCAACTACTTTATGTTTCAAATTTCTTTCACATATGGGTTGAATGCTTTAAGCATAAAATTGGATATTGATATTTGATACTATCCGTACCATACACAGTTATGTTTCCATGTTGTATCAGTACCATACACAGTTATGTTTCCATGTTGGACTTTTCCACACTCTGACATAACCTTCTTTAAGTGATCCTTTATAAGTTTTGTTTTCTCCTAACATTATGAGAACAGCAAGAGGCAAGATAAATAGATGTTCAAAAACTGAGTTAGGCAAGGTAAATATCTCATGTCTGCGGTGTTGACTGCTCTGATGGTAAATTTTGATTTATTCAAAAACTAAGTTAGGCCTTGTTTTGGATGTTATCGGATTCAACTTAATCCACATGTGTTGGAGTGGATTGGAGTGGAATTTAGTTCAAGTTCCACTCCTATCCACCCCAACACATGTGGATTCATAAGGATCTAACTACATCCAAACAAGGCCTTAGGAATATCTCGCCTAGTGGCATCCAGGTCAGTCAATTCCATTAGTTTATTCCTTGGCGGGAATTTGAGAAGCTTCAGGGTGATGGTTAATGACGCCTATTGTGCTGCTCGGAGATTTGAAGATGGAACTGCAGTGTTTAGGGAAATGTGGGAATTGCTGGGAGATTTGAAGATGCAACTGCAGTGTTTAGAAAAATGTGGAGATCTGCAGATGCAGTTAAACCATCGACATTTATATTTATCACATCAAAACTTGAATTTTATATTCTAATTGTTTATGCTTTGTGAAAACTCATGTAATATTGATGATTGGTTACAAACGGAGTGCTGCGAATATCGTGTTCAAAGTATAATTTTTTTTGCTAGCCTGAGCCTCGCCGTGGCTCGCTTCTGAGGATGGCCACGCTGTGGAGCCCCACATCATAGCTGCCGGCTGCGAGCGTCGCAGCTGACGCGGGGATGCAGCTCCGGGGCCGTTGTGATTGTGGCCTTGCAGAGCGGTGCCGGCCCCTCAGAGCCACGCGTCTCTGTTGCTGCGGCACCTCCACCCGCGAGCAAAACTCATGGCACCGAGAGCAGAACCCACCGCACCGAGATGTGTAATAGTGTAGATGTGATGAGTGTTTTCAGCGGTTTTGCAAGCATGGGGTATAGAGACAAGGAAAATAACTATACAAATGACAATTATTTGCAATGACGTGAATACACCAGTGATACAAATAATTATGTGCATAGGAAAATACTATTTTTAGGTTTTTACCGTAGCGTAACACGGGCACTATACTATTTCTATAATATATTGAAAATGATGCAATGAATTGGAAACTCTCTTAATTCTTGTTTTACTCTATTTATATCACTAAATACCACCGGAGTTTGGTTGTTTTTATGTGTATCCCTCAAATGAAACTGGAGTTTGGTGCAGAGATGCTAAGGTATTTCTGCCCCGCAATAGTTGTTCAGATATGCATCACAGTGCAAAGCAAGAATCTCCCTGATGGAGTGTTTTGGCTAGATGGTTGGCAAGTAGGACCTAAGGTGATTAACATCGATGTTGCCTCTCATGATGCCTCGAATAGATCGTGAGTAATTTTTTTCAGTTAGAAATTCAGAAACTGATATAGTTCCTTGTATTTGTAAAATATACATGTAGGCTTGTAACTATGAACATTAAGCCATTTGTCTCTGGTTGTGCTCAAACCTGTATATTATATAAGTGATTCTGTGATTGCACCATTCAGAGATAGTTGTATTTGGGAAGTTTACATATTCTATGCCTGTGTTCACCGGATAATGCATTCCATATTTATCTATCAGTTTTCCTTATACCATGTTTTGACTACAGATGAGGGTACTGACATGTGTCCATTCCATATTTAGCTATCAGTTTTCCTTATACCTCTGTTTGTCCTAATGGAACCTGACTACAGATGAGGGTACTGACATGTTCATTCTAAAACATGGAATAGCATCGGATTTCAAACAATTAAATATCACAGTGGATTTAATGGTGGCCGTAGCGTTAGCACGGACTTAATGGTGGCCGTAGCGTTAGCAAGTGCTTCTGCTGGTCTGAACAGAGTGCTGTTGAAGTGGAGAGACGGGTGTAACTTGACACAAGACAAATAATGTGATTTCATATACCCACACTATTTCTTTGAGGAAGATCACACATCTGCTGTTAGAGAAGTAAACTTCTGCCTGTATCATGTTCCTGCATGCAGTTTATTTTCCTTTCTGAGTGCACCCTGCAATTTCTTTGAAGCATATTGTACTTGCAACAATGAAATATATATTCTAGATTGGCAAAATAGATCTTTAGAGGAGCTCTAGAACTCCTGATATGAATTTGTTTTTTAGGGGTGGAAATGTGTGATCAGGTGATTTTCAGCTAAGTTGCTAGGGTATTTACCCCTACTGGTTTTACCTGATAAGAATGACTTCAAATCAGAAATAAGTAATTTACAAACCTGTAGGTTTGGAGGCCATAGTATACTCACAAAATTTCAAAATTTTTGCAATGAAGGTTTGGCGCAATTACAGAAAAAAGAATAAGTTATGTCTTAACTTTGGGCAGTATTTCTGACAATTGAGTCGCTGTTGTCTGACTTCTTTTAGTAATTCTGTTAGACATTCAAGAAGATAAACTTTACTTTTTAGATTAAATGTCACTTTAATGTTGGTATTTAATTTTTACAGTATTGTTATCTTATCGTGCGATCCGTGTATTTTTAGTACAAAAGTTTAGTTGTCCCGTAACAACGTACGGACATGCTACCTAGTAAATATAAAAAACATAAACAAGTCGATGTCTGGATTTGTGCCTTTTTGTTTTCTTTCCAAATTTAGTCCAGAGGACGCGGAATCGGACCGGTGCTGAAACATAAACAAGTCGATGTCTGGATTTGTGCCTTTTTGTTTTCTTTCCAAATTTAGTCCAGAGGACGCGGAATCGGCCCGGCGCTCGTCAGCACTGTAGTGCCAGGTTCTCAGGTGAAAACCGGGCGTCCGGGTGGGTCCCACCTGACCCGATGCAGAAACGAGAAAGGTCAAAGGTCTACCCTACTACTAATCGGTCGGTCCTGGTGGCGGTGGTTCGTCCGAAGTCGAATCCAACGGCGCGCCGCAGCTCCTCCGCCCCTCCTCTCCCGCCGCCTATATTCCTCCTTCCGATTCCGTTCGTTCGTTCGTTAAGCCCTTTCACAAGCGCGGGCGGCCTCCGACCGGCCGGAACCCCGGCGGCCTCCTGGAGATTATTACGGGATTGGGATCGGTCTGAGCTGCGGAGGCCGGCGCAGGCGCGCCCCCTTCTCGTTTCTTGGTGTGGCAGGCAAGGTGGTGGTGACCGGCCGGTGAATATGGTATGTATTGCATGCATCATACCGTCCTCTTGCGATTTCCCGTTCTTCTACTTCCCGGCTGGCAATGCAATGCGCCCACAGAAGTGTAGTTTCAATGCAATGTAATCTGGACTGCTCCCGTCGCGCAACGAGATTAATTAATAGTTAGTTTTTTTAGAAAAAGATTAATTAATAGTTAAGGGTGATACTGTTTCCTTCGGTTTTGGTGTTCCTGTCCTCACTCAGGATGCGATTCGCGTTCGGGCGATTCGGATATTAATCAAATGCTATCAATTCCTCCCGTCGATGCCATTGCTGGCTAATGTATGAACCTTCTGCGCTGCTCTGCTGTTTGTAGGCGTCCTAATACTCTTTGAGGAATCAACTGATGTGACACCCACCTAGTCACCTAGATAGATAATCTTTTCAGCAAAGATGGGGGTTTCGCTAGAACAATTTGATTATTTGTGTTAGTTGCTGGCGTAATTGATAATTTGATGATGACAGCAAACGTTTTTGTGTTTGTACAGAACATTGTGTGTGAAGTCTGTGGAGATATTGGTTACAGACAACTTCTGCTATGTTGCAGAGACTGCAAGCGTTATGCTGTGCACCAGTATGTCTCCATTTATACTAATTATGCTTTATTTTATTACATTCCATTTTATGTTGTGCTTATTAATGGGTGTAAACAACAGCATTTTCCCCCTTATATGACAAACCATGGTATCATCTTAGAGGTTAGGTCTACTTTTTACCCCGGAATTTTACATCATAATTTTTTTCCCAATCAATTTCAAAGTTGAGTAGACAGACTATATGAATATATCCCTATCTTCACATTCTATTGAATTAGAAATGGATATTTGCAAATCATGTAATGCCTAAATGGAAAACTCAAGTGCCTTCTGTAGTATGTACTGTAATTATGTTGTTAAAGCTTATTAATTTATGGTCGGCCTTTTCTTATTATGATTCGTCATTGTGTAGATACTGTTTGGACAAAGTTGTCTTCGATGCATCGTTAATAGAATGGTTCTGTTATGAATGCCTACAAAGGCGTGGTGAAGTTACTTGTGTCAGATCTCTAGAGCAGGTGTCAAGTGAAAGGCCACTGAATCATGCACAGTTTGGTTCTCCAGTACATCAGCTAACTACCAAGAGGGTGGAGTCAGTAAGGGATGCAGGGCCATATTCATCCAATGGTGGTTGTGAGGAACTATTTTCCTGCCCTGGCATAGAAACCATCCCAAGTGTGCGAGAAAGAAGTGTTGATCCCATTAATATTTCCAGCATTTCTCAACATGATAGCACAGAAGCATCCGCAAGCAGTGAAAGATCCACGGAGTGTCAAAAGGCTAGCTCCTGTCGACGTGGGAAAACTGTGAAGATGACTATGGAGTCCTCATCATCATCTGAGGAGTCAGGTTATAGCATTATTCTAGTTGCTTGCATATTTACCTCGAATCGTACATCACTTGTTACTAAACTCTGTTGCGAAATTTTGTACAGGAGAAGACATTCTCTCTGAAAACGTATCCTTGGAATATGTTTTGGCATATAGATGTTATCTATCTAAAGCACAAAAGAAGAGAGTAATGGAGCTTATTCAGGAAATTCAACCTGAATTCACAATTTTTATATCAATAATGCGGAAGGGCAATGTGCAACCCCCGGGTCCTTTTCTGGTAACTCCACTACTATTGAATAGGAAACTCATTTATATCAACATGAACTGTTTGTAGATAATAGTAACAATGTATGGGAGATTTACCTATGAGATTCCGGTTGTCATAAATCTTCTGAGCATCATGTTCCATTTGCTATCAGGGAATTACCAGGGATTATGCAAGTGCACATTTCCCAGATGAAAGCACAAATGTCACTCTTGAGGTGCCTGGCAAGAGCAAGAAGTGGCATCCCAAATTCTACAAAAGAGCTGAAAGTAGAAACTACATGCTTATAGGACAGTGGCTAGACTTTGTCCGTGAGAATCATGTGCAGGAGGGAGATATCTGCCTCCTTGTACCGACAAAAGATGAGATAAGGTGCACATTTATGGTCTATGTTCTTCATGAAACAACTTATTCTAGAGGTGGGGCTGGCTTTCAAATGGCTGGCCCATGCCCTGGTGCATCTAGTGCAAAGATGGCTTCAGAAATCCATATCGAGGAGGAACCTACCGCTGGTATTAGTGCAAAACATAAAAAAAACTATTAGCTCTCTAGATTATTCCATTTCTTATATGGTCTACAACTGTTTGCAGGAGAACATGTTTCCTCGGAAAGTGATATGCAAGAAATTCCTCATGAACCTGTAGAGGGCGGAGACTCTGATGATCCATTTGTTCCTCCATACATTGTACCATGCAAGAGTCCTCTATCTAAATCCCAGAAGAGAATCGTTGAGGAGCGAGTGCGAGCTATCCGATCTGAAATTCCTATTTGTGTGGCAGTAATGAAGAACAACAACGTCGGTGTTGCTCAACGTTGGATGCTAGTAAGCCCAATTCTTTTTTTGTTTGGTCTTAAAGTTGTTGTTTTTTTTATCCTTAAGCTTGCTGTTCCTGTCATCTTAACCTTATTTTGTTTTGTAGCGTGTTGCTAACTACTGATCCATAATGCTTCAGGAATTAGGTTCACGATATGGTTCGGTATATCTCCCGACTAAAGGGCAAACCATATGGCTCCAGTGTGGGGGGAAGACATGGAAGGCAAAAATGATGTTTCATAATGGTAGAAGGTGGTTTCTTAACGGAGGTTGGCCCAATTTTGCTCGTGGAAATGGCCTGCGCGTCGGCGACGTCTGCCTATTCGAACTGAAGAAGGAGAGTAAGCTTACCATGGCAGTCCATATCATTCGCAGGGAGAAGTTTTAGGTTGCCGTATATGAAAGTGTGGCCCCTGTTCTTTCGGCTGGCGCCAGGGCCTTATTGTGCTTATTTTTTACTATATGAAGTTAATCCATGGTTGTGGCTGATATCTCTGTAAGGATTAGAGGCCAATCTGTAACATTTTTTTTTTGAAAAAAACACCAGTCTGTAACATCTATTGGTACCTATCTGTTGACATTAGCATGTGGTATATAGATAAGGAATGGCGTGGTTATTATCATACGCATTGCTTTTACTAATGTACATTTAGCAGACAGTTTTGTTTGATTTTCATTGCATGCCAATACACTGATAAATCAGTGTCTCTTGCCTTGTTGTAATCGTTTGGGGAGCACCCAACCAAAACTGTAGTTACGATCACGCCGAGGGTAGCTCTGATCAAAATCCGACAACAGCAGGCTCTTTCAAGTGCAGTACAATTGTTCCCGACGATTGAACATGCAGCTAGCTAGAATTTCAGAGCTACCCTTGGCTCTTACAAAAAGTGAAGATGGCTGTGTTTGAAAGCAACTCATTTTTAGGCAAACAAATATGATCAAGTTCTGAAAGCGGTTTCCACAATTAATCCTCGTTTTCTTTTCTTGAATCTGCTCTTTCAATTTGGCAGTTACGATAAAATATAGTACTCCTATATATGTCCTACAGTCATGTCCTACATACCTAGTTCTGAGGGGTTGAGACATTGGTTTCCATTTACTAACAGAATACCCTTATGTTGTAATAATGGGATAAAAATCTTGTTTAGTACACACAGTAAAGATAATACAACGTACATATGTTGTTTAGTGAAGTGTGTGCTGTCTCTTCATTGCGCTGCCGAGAGCGCTCCTCTTGGTGACACCCAACCACCTTACGTGCCGCACGATCAAGGGGTTGAGAGGCACACGTACGTACACAGCACCCATTTCGATTCGATCTGCGTCTCATCAAATCCATAATCAATTTACAGTCATCCTCCCATCCATACGCGCGCGCGTGCCCTACGCACCCATTTATGCAGTCCCTCAGCGATTGCCACCCAGTCCTGTTGCCACCTGCGTACCACGCATCTATTCTATCGAGCAAATTAAATGACAATACATCGACCAACTACTCCTACTACTAATAATAATCTGATGATGCATTTTTTTTAATCAGCGGAACCATAGATACTAGGTAGCATCCCGGCTCTATATAAATGGATCCAAGCTAGGCTTCACCTAGCAGTCAGCAAGCTTTTCGCTCCACTCACCATCAGTCCATCACATTACTCACATACGCCGGCCAGCCGCATCCATCATCCATGGATAAGACTAAGAGCTTGGTTATCATGGTGCTTGTCCTGGGTCTAGTTCTGGAGCAGCAGAGCCAACTAGTGCATGCTAACAGCTGCTGCCCATCCAGGACTGCAAGAAGAATGTACAATGCATGCCGCGTTCATCAGGGCGCTTCCAGGGAAACGTGTGCAAGGTTCGCACGCTGCAAAATTGTTCAGGGGAAATGTAAAGACCCTCATTACATTGTTGACCAGTCCCCCTACTCGGACTCTGGTAAATTACCAAAATTCGATTCTTTTAATTTCTATATAGCTCTCTGTGTTTCATGCATGCATATATATTTGCCGTAAGTAAATACGGGAAATAATACATACTCCTATATATAATTCCGTTTTCATGCATATGGATCATTGTTGTTGTTTTGTGTTGCAGAGGTAGCGAATGTTGTGCTTGAATTCTGCAAGTCGGGATGCACATCGTCTGTGTGCAACAACATCAAGACTGGTATAGCAAAGCCTTTCATTTCATTCACAGGGCAAAAACACTATATAAATGGAGTACTTAACTGTTGCACCTGACATGCATCCTAACTCGGCAATTAATTGGACGTAGCTGCAGGTTTTTGTCGTTCCCTACTCGTCCTAAAGAAAATGTAAAAGAATATTTATGAAAACATATATTCCATGAAGAATTTAGTCATACTTATTTGGTATGTACATAAATATTTATTGATACTTTTTATAAAAAAATACGGTCAAGCATAAAATAGTTTGATTTGATATTATGTTAAATTATATATTTTTTCCGGACTGAGAGAGAAGTACAATTGATATCTTTATTTCTTTTATTATCAGCTGTCCTCCAAGAAGATGCTAATGATGATGCCGTGGACCGCTGCGGCGAAGCATGCCACCGCTTCTGCACCAACACCAAGCAAGCATGCCACCGCTTCTGCACCAACACCAAGCACGTTGACACTGCCACCAATGTTTCTTAAGCAGCTTAGTTGGTGTACCTAGTACCGTGTAACAGTTGTGAGTTTTTCTCAAAAAAAGTGTGTTCGTTCATCTCTAGAATTATGTACTCCTCCATTCCAAATTGTAAGACATTTGACTTTTTTAGCCTCAAGTTTAACCACTCGTCTTATTCAAAAAAAAATTGTACAAATATAGTCAAATTTAAGTTATTCATGAAGAATTTTTATTAATAAACCAAACCACGACAAAAGAAGTGATATTTTACACAAATTTTTGAATAAGACGAGTGGTCAAACTTGATGTCAAAAAAGTCAAACGTCTTACAATTTGGGATGCATTGAGTAGTATATATATCTGGACAATAAAACGGCGTTGTTCGCTGTCAATATCTATTTCTCTTTAAGTCACCGTCGAGTAATATTTCTTGTGTTCGCTACTACTCGATCAACTTAGTGTTGCTGCACAGCTGGTATTTGAGAAAAAAATATGTGTTAAAGTTCATTGATAAATTTGGAGTCTCAGAATAAACTGTGGTGTCTCTCTCTCTCCCTCTTATATATATATATAACCAGCTACAAAATAAGTTATTCTGTATCCACCTCTATTTACGATAATTTTATATACTAATTTACGATAATGTCAATACATATTTACGATAGTTGGGTTACTATAACACATGGGAATATTTACCATAATGTTATAGTAAGTTATAGTAAAGCACTTAGTAAGGAGTTACTATAATCTCGTAAATTAACATATTAATTATTGTAACTCAAATTGGCTACAGAATAAATTATATATATATATATATATATATATATATATATATATATTAGTTTTTTTTATTAGTTTTCAATACTCCCTAAGTCCCAAAACATATGACCTTAACTTTTAAGGCGACCTTGCGAACTGATCATAGATCAGATGGCTAGGTTCCTTGTGGTGGAACCTGTGCACCTGGATTTAAGTCCTTGATTTGGCACGGGTGCTCACATTTTTCTGAATCTAATTCAGGATTTAACGATGCTATGCTTTTAGTGGTAGGCGACGTCCCCGTCGACAGCGAGGCACCAGTGGTGACTTTGTGAATCTCGAGATCTGCAGTCCTTCGGAGGTGCTCATAGGGGTAGGGTTTGCGTACGTATAATCAACGGGGTGAGTGTGCATGCGTGCTGTGGACGTCTGCGTTGTACTGTGTAATTCTAAAAAAACTCTTAAGACGGCCTTAGGGCACCCACGATAATAGTATAAGCCAATTACTAGCTCTAAGTCAACCTCTTAAATAGTGCTAGCTTTTTAGCAATGACTCGTAGTATAGTTATAGGCCCACATGACATTCAATTCTCACATGATCTTGAAATGTATGTATGAGTCTAGCTCTTATTAAGAGCTAGCTTTTCTCTCTCTTCTATTAAAATATAAATAAAATATTTAGAGCTAGCTTATGAGTCAGCTATTATGGGTGCCCTTAGTAACATGAGCTAGTTACTAGCTCTAATACAACTTCTTCAATAATATTAATTTTAGCACATAACTCATAACATGAATAGTCTCACATGACAATCTCGTATAATCTTGAAATATGTGTATGAGACTAGCTCTAATCAAAAGATAGTTTTCTCTTTTCTATTAAAATACAAAATAATAATATGCATAGAGCTAGCTCATAAGTCACTATTGGAGCAGTCCTCCTAGGATTCAAATTTTGTTCCAAAATACTTGACATTCTTGCTCTCTACCTCTCTTTATCTCTTTCCTTTTCTACGCATCACACTTTTTCACTCCATTTTGATTCGCACGTCGAGACCTACTCCCTCTGTCCTATAAAAGGCGTCATTCTCGCTTCACGAGAAGTCAAATATTTTAGACTTTGATCAAATATATAGAAAAATATAATATTTATAGAACACTATTATTATTTGATGAATCGCTAAATTTATTTTCATAATAAATTTATTTGGAGATACAAATGTTGCTAATGTTTCATACAAACTAGTGAAACTTAAGAAAATTTGATCAGCACGAATCTCAAAGCGACACTCTATTTCAGGACATCTCTACAATCTCTACCTTTCTTTATCTCTCTCCATTTTGTTTTCTGCGCGTCACACTTTTTCACTCAACCTTAATTCTTGTGCCCAGACCTACTCCCTCCGTTATATAAAAAGTGTCATTCTAACTTTATGAGAAGTCAAACATTTTAAACATTGACTAATTATATTAAAAATATTAGTATTTATGCAATATAATTAGTATCATTAGCTGAATAACTGAATATATTTTTAATAAATTTATTTGGAGATACAAATATTACTAATATTTTATACAAACATAGTTAAATTTAATAAAGTTTGACCAACATGAATCACGTAGCGACACTCTTTTTCGAGTATGCATCTATTGGTTTGGTCCCTATTGCTCTCATGTGACCCACCTACACGCTTGAAACTACTCTATCTATCCTCGATAGAATAGATTTCTAGACTAAAATTTTTTCGTATACTCTCTCCGTCCCCGAATATAAGGCGTGATTGACTTGGTGCGGTCTTTAAGAATATATTTTGACCTATAATTTCTCTTATAATATATAATTTATTAGAACAAAAGTTTGATCATTAGAAAGTATTTCAAAATACAAATCTCATGTAACTAATTTTGTAATACAAACTTTTGATATAATTAGGATAATTATTAGTCAAAGATAACAAAGTTTGAAATTTAAAATATGCGCATGCCTTATATTCGGGGACAGAGGCAGTAATAAATCAACTTGTAGACACTACTCTAATGGTTGATGTAGTGCATGCACTAACTTTTAATATATTATTGTAAATAGCAAAATTCATTGTTCTAGCTTCTCGGTAAGTGGTGAGTGCAGTTAAGTTAAAGAAGCTTAATAAAGGGTAGTAAGGTCTTTTCTGTTGTTTGCTAATTTGTCCTGAACTTGCTATAAATCTATCAGATTTACTCAAATGCAGTTGCCTGATATTTTATTTTCTTGTCAGTCAATTTTTATAAAACATCACATGTATACTACCAGAACATCACAAATGCATCATAGAACATTATAAAATACATCACAAAACATCACATGTATTTTAGCAACCGCCTGAGAACATTATAGAACATTAAAATACATCACAGAACATAACAGAACATCACATGTGTATCACTTGAACATCGCAAAGACCATTATAGAACATCACATGTATACTACATGAACATCACAAATTATAGAATATCATGGACTACGTAAACATTACATATATATTACATGAACATCACAAAATACATCACAGAACATGATTGGCAAACAATCAGTCACCTGCCACAGAGACAGACCCTAAATCTATCACTAATGCTTAGACACGAGTGTCCGGCCGTCCGGACACCGCATGGCCCACTCTGCCTCGCTGCTGCCACTCGCTCCTACCCATGCGCACCCCGCCTGCAACGCTAGTTCCCTCCTGTCGCCCGCCCCGCTCGTCACGCGCCATGCCAACACGGATTCGCCACCTCCACCGTGCCTCATGGTCGGAATCACGCCACTCGCCGCGGCCGCGCGCCCATCCGCCTATTGCGGCCACTACCGAGGCCTGTGCCGCCAATGAACTTCGCACTGGCGACCTCCCCATCACTCCATGGCATTGAACTCCGCGCCGACGTCGAGCTCCGTGTCGACGAGCCTTTTGCAACCGGATGTTTCACGCATTTCAGATGTATGTTTTATGTGTTTCATCTATATGTTTCATATGTTTCATCTAGATGTTGCAAGATCTGGTATTTCATATGTTGTAATGGCTACACACGCATGTTTCAAGTGTATGTTCCACATGTTTCAGTTATTTCAGACGTATGTTTCAAATGTATGTTCCAAATGTTTCAATTATTTCAAACGCATGTTTCATGTGTTTTATCTGGATGTTGCAATGACTATATAGGTATGTTTCAAGAGTATATTGCATATGTTGCAACTGTTGGACGGATGTTGAAGAGATGAGACGTTAGGACGGGGTAAGGGGCGCGGCCGAGACATAGTGCGACGGAGGACGGGGTGCAGCGGGGATGGCACCTCGGCGAGGGGAGGAGCGTGACGCGGCGGGGGAAGGAGCACGACAAGCTTGACGCTAGGGCGCAGCCGGGATATGATCGAGGCGTGGAATGGGTCGAGGATGGCCGGACGCGGGCGCTAGCGCGGGATGGCTCAGGAGCGGCTGAATGCGATCGTTGTCGCGGGATCTGATGCAAGTGTGGGGCGTCCGATGCGACACGGGTGCAGGCGTCGGAGCTGCGTCCGGACAGAGGCTAGCGTCTGGATGTACATGTGCTAGCCACGCCCTAAATCTATTCTTCCAGGACAGAGAGAATACATGAGAAACTGTCAGCCGGATGCATTATTTAGAATATCAGCCCTGATCGATTCCTACCAAAAATATCATACACACGGAACGCACCTACAATCTACTGGCCCTTTTTTATTTAAATTATTTTATAACTGTTATTAAATATAAATATTTCTCTTTCAAAAAAATCGATGGCTCAGATTTATCTAAGAGTAATCGGAGTACTGTAGCAAGGCAAACACATATAGGCATATTAGCTAGTTTGGTTTCAGCTCGTGGGCATGGTGAGTGATTCATCTCTAATGCGCAATCTCTGGTCATTAGTTTTCCCTTTCAACGGCCTCCCATATTAACCACCGTAATGACTGGTCTTCAGTTCCCCCTTACACGCCTCTCACATTAATTATAGGTGAATCAATCGATCACAAGCACTCGTGGACTTATGGTGTTGCTCCTTAACAACTCATATGATATATACGTACGCACTCATCGTGGAAGTTCATCAGATGCTTTTGACTTCTAGCCTCCTCCCTGTCTATCTTTTTAGCTCCATAGAATAGATAGAAATGCAACTATAAAGCTGCGATCCTGGATTCCTGGTGGATGATCTTCAGGTTGTGGGGATATATAATCTGTTCCTCAATTGTTATTCGGTGCTCATCTGTTGTGTAGTATCT